TATGTTGTGATGGGTTACCACATAGGCAAATAGAAAGCTTCGGTATAACGAAGCACCATCGTTTCGTATCCGCCGAAAGAAAGCATACAGTCGACGAAGCAGCTGAAAGTCGGAAAACATGCTCATCCTAACTTTCCCGTCTTATATGCGACGGTAAAGTCGACGAGAAGAAAGAGGAAGAGATGGTGATGAGCAACAGAAGATGAAACCTGGATCTTTTCTCGCAGGACTTTTTCACTTCTGCGGTATTCTGCTACCATTGAGCGAAAAGTTTCCTGCAGTACAATTAGAGAATCAACAGAGTGCTTAAGGTATATGGCCTTGTTGTGGTATATTTTTATGATGAAGTGTGATGTATATTTCAAAGTTCGTAATTGTTACTTGTCTAGTGGGATTATTCTCTTAGCTTTTTTTTTTTTAGTCTCTCCTCCTCACATATGAATATCTTCTAATATTTTCCTCCAATTCATGTGTCATTCAATTGTCTCCGTCAATCTTTCACTACCAATAGGAGATAATTCTCTTTTTTAATCTTCTCTCACATATGGATGTCTTCCAAGAATAATCTCTCTTTCATTCATTACAACCGTAACACAAATACACTTGTCAGAATTTAACCAAGTAACTGAAAGAACAGAAACATGATGCATGCATGTTCAAGAACTAGTTGACGAGAGCTGCTTACCTTTTCTCCGAACGCCAGCTTCTCCTCATTCTTCTCCTCAACCTCCGCCTTCAAGAAGTATAAGAAAAGAAGAGCTCAGATGTTTCATTGCATTTGAGCAAGAACCAAAAGTCATGTGCAAGAAAGAACTCAGAAAGAGAACTATATATACAAGCCACAGGCAGAAAACATAAGCCATGTCGATGTAATCAAGTAACAAGTCTCATGAGATGGAGTGGAAGAGTTGAGATCAAACCAACATAAAGAACAGTGTGCAGGCAAGAAAGTTGAAAACACATTATGAATGCAAATCACAATAAGCCTATCATTTAAGAACTACTTAAAGAACCCAAAGGATGTCAAGAATCGGAGAGAGGATGCTGCTCCTAACCTTTTGTTCGATCTTCAGATCTTCCTCATCGGTCTCCTCCACCTTGGCCTTCAAGAAAGTTAACAAAAGAAAAGGTATTGTAGCATTTAAGGCTCAAAATATTCGTGCATTCAGGCCATTCAATATGAGTAAACACCACAAACGAATTTGAGAACCACCTCATCATTTCATAGAAGAGCAGAGTCAATGTGCAAGAAAGAAATCAAACAAGTTAGAGAAGAAATTACACACCAATCTCAGATTGGAAATTGTGATTCCAAGTTTACTGGAGGAAGAACTCAAAGAAAGGCAATAACAAGTGTTGTGAGTTCAAGGGACACAACTCATGAGATGATCCAAACACAAAGAACAGTGGCTAGAAAACAAGAGAGCTTCCACGAGATCCATGTAATGAAGAGCCAAGAATCACAGCATAATCAGTTGAGGGGAGTGAGATTACCTTCCCTTTGCGATCAGGCCCTTTATCATCACCTCCGGGCGAATTCCCCTCCGGTACCAGGCCTCCGAAGCAACTGCAAGCTCGACTCCACATCTCTCCTCTTTCGCCTCGCTAGTCTGTGTGCGGAGGAAGAAGATGATTTGGCCCCGTTTATAAGGCCATGCAAATATGGTCAGACAAACCCAAGTTATTTCGACACCCGAGTCCGGTCTAACATAACTCAGCCGATTCAACCCATTCAAAAAGACCTGAATGCAATAGTTGATTGCCACACGAGTAACCTCACGAATGCATGCATCGTTGCATTGAGACGCACCTGATTCAGGTGATGCATCAAATTTATGTGTGATGGACATTTAGCTAATGTAGTAAAAGTCCACAATTCTTAAAATCTTACCCTCATCATAGTATTTCTTCTAAAAAGGGTTGCAGTAATACTTGATTCACTTTGGACCCTTTTTTTTTTTGTAAGTGTAGAGGAGAGGAGAAAGGTAGTAAACAATTGTTGTCGTCTTTTCCTATATTTGGCATGGACAATGACAACCATGGATTAGTTTGGAGATCAATGCTCAGTTTCTTAGAACTTGCTCGACAAACTATTTGTCCATTTGCATGGTTTTTGTTGGTTCCCTTTACCCTTTTTATAACTTTATATTTTTAGATCCAATTCGTTTCAAGGACCAATAACTTTCACTGTGTTTGTTCTTTCAATTGCTTGGTTAAATTCTTGAGTGTGTATGTGTTCCGGTTGCAACGCGAGAGAGATATATTATGAACTTTGAAGTATACATCACACTTCATCTTAGTTATTTAGACATGTGCAGAGGAAGAAGATGAATTGGTCCTATTCCATAAGTCTATGCAAAGATGTTAGATGAATCACAAGTTATATCGACAATTGAGTTAGGTCTAATTCAATAAGAAGGTGTTAGCTAGTTTAGCTAGTAACAACTTTGATGGTTTACCACAAGGTTTTGGGCTCAAATCCCACTTTTGTTATTTATCTTTTACGAAAAATAAAATAAAATCACAACAGGAATATCCTCGTGTTCTTAAGACATCTAATTTAATTCAGATATTATAGCACATCTTTATAATTAGCTAAATTTTATGTTAGTATTAAAATCAAGTATCGGAGATCAAAAGCGAAAGGTGCACACCTTTAGATACGATTAAGGTTCATTTTAGCTCCTATGATTTTAGCCATTGATTACTTAAGCACTTATGGTTTACTTATATCTAAAATAACTTAAACATTTTTAAAAACGTAACATATAAGTCCCTTCCATCAAGTCTAAGTTAACCAATGTTAAAGTCTGCTTAGATAACTCATAATAAACTATTAATACAATGACACGTATAATTTAAGTAAAAATAATAATCCATTTTAGCTTTTGTGGTTTTGGTCATGAACCACTTAAGCTCTTCTGATTTTGTTTGTATTTAAAATAATCCTTATATTTTTAAAAACATAACATATAAACCCCCCTCCTCGTTAAGTCTGAACTGACAAACGTTAGAGTTTACCTACATTGCATACTGACTCACAATAAACCATTAATATAATAACACATATGATTTAAATTAAAAACATTGAGACCACCATCAATAGCGAGAGAAGGCATCGTCGTGGAAGGGATCACCAACAGCAACATTGAGCCACTATTGTATAGTAGGACATCGTACTCACGTAACCTCTCTCGCACTAATGACAAGCTCAAGAGCTTCCGGTCCTACCTTAGGTAGATGTGTATTATCACACTAAGTATACAATGGTCTTCTATAAACATAGATCCTAAATAATCCCGGTCATAGGTTACTCGAGAGGGACATCGTGATAACCGGACAGACTGGTGTGCTGTATACCCGTCCATATGATGGATGCAGCTAGTCTCATAGCTGCTCGTGTAGGGACACTAGGGACCTATTGATACTATTTATCGCATACTTAGTCCTGTGAAAAAGATTGGTAGTGTTCTTGGGAAAGGAGGTGAAATAATTAACGCGCTCAAGGTGTGACCTATGTAAAGATAAGGGTTGCAGATGCTGTTCCCGGGGCAGAGGAGAGAGTAATTATGATCTTTTGTTACCTGTGGCAATTTGAAAGAAATGATTCTGATCAGGACCCCTATGATACTGATGGAATTGAGTTAGAGGATATGCGTGCCCGTTGTCCTGCACAAGATGCTTTACTGAAGATCCACTATTGGATTGCTGCAGATGAGAATCTACGAGGTGGTGTGATACAATAAAATACTGAACCTGATGATGTTGTTGCTGCTGGAATTTGGTTCGCCAAGAATCAAGTTGGGTGTCTTCTTGGCAAGGGTGGCACAATTATTCAGTAACTTCGAGGTGATACTGGTGCAAATATTCGCATATTGCCTTCGGATCGCTTTCCACCTTGTGCCAGGAACAGTGATGAACTAGTACAGGTAATAATACCATTTCATGGGCAATTTATAATTTGTGTTTTTGAAGTTTGCTATGGTAATTGCGATCCATGTGAAGAATCTCTGCTCTTTTAAAATTAAAGCTTGTTTGAACATATGCAATTGGGTGCTTCGGATTGTGGTTTTGAGATGCATGGTCCTTCTAATCGATTGAAGACCAAGTCTGCCACCATCTCGAGCATTCCATCCATATTAGTCTGACTTGGAGTAAGAGTTTTTTTTTTTCCCCCTTTTCCGTCCACGATAAAGAATGAGAGTAT